TGTAGTACAGCTGCTGTTGCTGGCCGTCCCTGACTGAAGCTGACTCACAGCGACCCTGGAGGGCAGGCTAGAACTCCCCATGGGCTTGTCTGGGCTGGGGTCTAGTGAGGGAGTGCTGGTCGCTTAGTGGTTGAGCCCGCGGCTGCTAACCGAGAGGTCGGTGGTCTGAACTCAGGAGCTGCTCTTCGGGAGAAAGATGAGGCGGCTGCTTCAGTAAATCACAGCCTTGGGAATGCTGTGGAGCAGTTCCATGCATCCTATCGGCTCTCTATGAGTCAGAAAACCAAAAAAATAAAACCCTAACTGACTCATAGCAACCCCTCCTTGGGTTTCCAAGGCAGTATCTCTACAGAAACAGATTGCTCAGTCTTCCTTCTGAGGAGTGGCTGGTGGGTTTGAACTGCCGGCCTTCTGGTTAGCAGTCAGATGCCTTAGGCACCGTGCCAGCAGAGCTCCCCTCCGTGAGTCAGGGTCGACTCCAAAGCAGTGGGTTTGGTTTGGTTAGGTTAACCTCTCCAGGAGCACATCAGCAGATCTTTCTCCCCTGGAGCCACTGGTGGGTTTGAACCAGTGACCCTTCAGTTAGCAGCTGAGCACGTAATCACTGAGACCCAGGACTCTGTGTTGTTGTGGTTAAACCACTGCCTTCAAGTCAATTGTGACTCATAATGACCCCGTCAGCTTCCCGATGCAATAAATCTTTATGGAAGTAGATTGCCTCCTCTTCCTCCCCTGGACCAGCTGCTGGGTTTGAACCACCGACCTTCTGGTTAGCAGCCAAATCTTATTGCTCCCCAGCACACAGCACAGAACCAAGCCCTGCCTGGTCCTGCGTCGTCTCCTTGATGGGTTGCAGGTCAGACCGTTGTCACCCATGGGGTTCTCACTGGCTGAGAGTCAGAAACGGAATACTAGGCCTTTCCGGGTGGTCCTTCGACTGGAAGCTCTGCCAAGACCTGTCCAGCACCTGGCAGCACACCAGCCTCCGCTGACAGGCGGGTGGGGGTTGAACCAGGCTCTGCCGTGTGGCCAGCGAGCCGCTGACAGTTACCGCTCTCTGGGGGCTGGAGCCCACTAAGCACTTCCTGTGCTTCTCCTTGAATCGTCATTGTAGCCAGAGGAGGGTTTTTGAAACACTGCATCCTATTCAGGGACAGTGTGTCCACTGGGGCACCAGGGTGGGCAGGGTAGCCCTCTGGGCTGGTAATTGACAGCTGTGCTGTCCATAGAGAAATTTACAGTGAGAGCCAGACTGAAAGGAAATGGCAGCTTTTTGTTGTCCTGGAGGATGGCCGCTGTGAAGTACCCTCCTGCCCCAACCCAGCAGGCACCACATACCCTCTCACCCTCACGCACCCACACACCATATACCCTCACACACACATGCACACACACACACACGCCTTCGTTGTTATCACAATAAAGGACACCTACATATCCTAGTAGATTTTTATTTTTCCTAAGTTTCTAAATTATATCGTTAAATTGACCTTTTTTCTTTCTGGTGTGCAGTTCTGTAAATTTTTTTGAATTGTTTTCTGCTTTATTTATAAGAAAAATTCAGACCTTGAGTTGCAATATCAAAGGATCTTATGGGCAAAATACTGAAAGACGCAGGAAGCGTCAGAAGAAGATGGAAGGAATAGAGTCACTGTACCAAAAAGAAGTCATCGATGGCCAACCATTTCAGGAATATCATGTGATCAAGAACTGATGGTGTAGAAGGGAGAGGTCTAAGCTGCACTGAATGAAATGGAGGAAAACAAGGCTCCACAAATTGACATTACACCCACTGAGATGTTTCAACAAACTCATGCAGCTCTGGAGGGGCTTACTTATTTATGCTGAGAAATCTGGAAGACAGCTACCTGCCCAACCAACTGGAAGATATTCATACACATGCCCACTCCAAAGAAAGGTGATCTGTCAGAATGTAGAAATTATCAAACACACAAGTAAAAAGGAAGATAATTGAAAAAACAGTTGTAGCAGTGTATCAACAGAGAACTGCCAGAAATTCAAGCCAGATTCAGAAGAGGTCATAGAACAAAGGATATCATTGCAGATGTCAGCTGGATCTTGGCAGAAAGCAAAGGATACCAGAAAGATGTTTGCTTGTGTTTCATTAACTATGCAAACCATTCAGTTGTGTGGATCATAACAAATTATGGATAGCATTTGAGAAGAACGGGGATTCCAGAACACTTACTTGTGCTCATGAAGAACCTAGACATAGACCAAGAGGCTGTCGTTCAAACAGAACAAGGGGATACTACATGGTTTAAAATAAGGGAGTGTGTCAGGGTTGTATCCTTTCACCATACTTATTCAATATGTATGTTGAGCAGATAATCCGAGAAGCTGGACTTTGTGAAGAAGAATGTAGCATCAGGATTGGAGGACAACTCATTAACAACCTGTGGTACGCAGATGACACAACCTTGCTTGCTGAAAGTGAAGAGGACTTGAAGGACTTACTGATGAAGATGAAGGACTACAGCCTTCAGTATGGATCACACCCTGACATAAAGGAAATAAAAATCCTAACAACTGGACCAATAAGCAAGATTATGGTAAGTGGAGAAAAGACTGAAGTTGTCAAGGATTTTCATTTTACTTAGATCCACCATCAACACCCATGGAAGCAGCAGTCAGTAAATCAGATGACATACTGCATTCGGCAAATCTGCTGCAAGAGACCTCTTTAAAGTGTTAAAAAGTACAGATGTCACTTTGAAGACTAAGGTGCACCTGGCTCAAGCCATGGTATTTTTAATTGCCTCATATGCATGTGAGTGCTGGACAATGAGTAAGGAAGACTGCAGAAGAGTTGAAGTCTTTGAATTATGGTGTTGGTGAAGAATATGGAATATGCCATGAACTGCCAGGAGAACAGACCAGTCTGTCTTGGAAAAATTATAGCCAGATGGTCCTTAGACATGAGGAAAGTGTGACTCTGTCTCATGTACCTTGGATGTGTTGTCAGGAGGGGCCAGTCCCCAGAGAAGGACATCATGCTTGTTCAAGTAGAGGGTCGGTGAGAACAGGGAGGATCCTCCACAAGATGGCTTGACACAGTGCCTGCAACAGTGGGCTGACAACAGTGATTGTGGGCATGGGCGGGACCGGGCAGTATTTTGTTCTGTGGCATACAGGGTTGCCCTCAACATCCTCGACGACACTAACAGCCGTCTTTGAGTGGATGGCAGACCTTGTGAACTTGAGCTTGTTGGGTGCTGGGTGTTTCTGTTTTCCTGTAAAGCTCTCTCAGCTCTGTTCAGGTGCATTTGAACTTCTTGGGAAGAAGAACAGGACTTGCTTTTCAACTTGCTTAGCCATCCTGGAGCAGTGCGCACTCAACTGTTGATTTTTGCCCACTGAGCCAAGACCTTCCCGGGTCCCCAGCCAACACTCCACCAATGATGTTTTTCCATCTGATGGGGGGGAACAGGCATGGTTCCTGTCCCGTGCATGAGTGCCGGCCACTGCTTCCTTCCCATTGTTGTTCTTGGGTGCCGTCAAGTTGATTCCAACTCATAGTGACCCTCTGTGACAGAGTAGAAGCCCCACAGGGTTTCCTAGACTATGAGCTTTACAGAAAATGGCCAGTTTTTCTCTCTCACAGAACCACCCACCTTTTGGTTAATAGCTGAGCACTTAACCACTGCTCCACCAGGATGCTTTCTCTGTCCAAACCATACCTGCTGTTGTCTAGCCAATTCCAAGTCATAACAACCCTGTGAAAGAGCAGAGCAGTGCCACAGGGTTTCCAGGGCTGCCGTCCACGGGGCAGGTCTCTGGGCCCTTTCTCCTGCAGAGCTGCTGGCTGGGTCCCAGCCTCCGGCCTTTCCATGAGCAACTGAGTGCTTAAGCCCTGGGCTGCCCAGGCTCCTTTTCTTTGCTCTGGGCCTTGTCGGATGTTTTGACTCTTAAACACTGTGATTATGTTGCCTGTTCAAAAAATTCAACTCAAACATGAAGACAGTGATAGAAAGGCCCCTACGTACAATAAGCCAAAGCCTGGGCTTCTCCTGTCCCAGCCCTGGCCTTCAGTTTGCACTCGGGACCCTAGGGGACAAGGGGACTCACACGAGCCATCTTTCAGGCTCCTGCCCCTCTTCTTCATTTCCTCCTCTCGCCTCTGCTGCTCAGAGCTGCCCACACCCCACCTGGGAGGTCTTTCCTGTCGCCACATTGATTTTAAGACTTCCTCAGCTCACTTCCTTGTCCCTCAGTGACTTCCTCTTAGAATGCTGTCACATGCTGGGATGGACGGACAGTGGGCACAGGACACATGTCGGTTCTCATGCAGTCTACCTCCTGTTGGTGTCCCCGCATGCTTCCAACTGATTACAGTCCACTGAGAGTCTTTCCTGTTGGAATGCATGCCGCGTGTCGGTTCTCCTGGCCATTCCCTCGTGTGTCATTTTTGCGCTTTTCTGCCATTGTCATTCCTTGACTCTCGGGGCATCACCTTTCTGTCTGGGCACAAAACTGCATCAGCTAAAAACCCTTCACTTCCGCACTTGCCATCAGACAGGGCTTCTTGGGCACGGGCTGGTACCTCCTGCCCCGCCTTCGGTCTTGGTTCTCGTCTGCTGTACCAGAACACCTGCAAGTGGTGGGCTTAGCCAACAGAGTTTGTCTTCTCACAGTTAGGAGGCTAGAAGTGTGGATTCAAGGCACAGCTCTGGGGAAGGCTTTCTCTCTGTCAGCTCTGAAGGACAGCCCTTGTGTCTTTTCAACTTCTTCTCAGCTCCTGGGGGATCTTCCTGTGGTATGCCATCTCCCCCCATCTCTGCTGGCTGGCCTGTTCATTTAAATTCTTTTATATCTCAGAAGAGATTGACTCAAGACAGCCCCGCCCTAATCCTGCCTCATCAACATGACAAAGATACCCCATTCCTGAGTGGGATTCTAGCCACTGGAATCGGGGGCAGCATTTACAACACAGGGCTTGAGGACCCCAGTTGAATCCCTAACACCTTTTCTGTCTGCAGACTGAAGGTGGAGGAGCTGGAGGGGGAGCGGAGCCGCCTGGAGAAAGAAAAGAAGGTGCTGGAGCTGCAGCTTGAGAAGCTCACCCTCCAGGTAGGCACTGGCAGGCGTCCTTGGGGAGAGGTCCCTGTCACCCATCCCTGGCACTCTCCCAATATGTGTGTCCATGGTTCCCGCTCCCACAGAACAGCCTGCGTCCTGGCTTATTGGGCTCCAGGGGAATGAACCCCTCACACACCCCTTCTGGGTGGAGCACATGTGTCCTGGAGTCCAGCGGAGCCCCCGGCCTGAGTTGTCTCCTCCGGGAAGAGTGTCTTGACCCTGAACTGGCACTGTGCACCGGCCGCCCTGTCCTCTGTCCCCTCAGGGAAACACATCCTTGACCTTGAACTGGCACCTGTGGACTGGCTGTTCTACCCCACCTCCTCCTTGCTCGAGTGGAGTGATACCCCTCTCATCCCCCTGCACTGACCAGAGAGACCAGGCTGGGTCTGCCGGGGTTTGATTCACCAGGCGCCGACAATGGGGTGGAGAAGCCACAGAGACATTTTCTCTGCTGGTTTCCGTTTTCTGCTCCAGTTGCCCCCGCTGATGCTACCTGTCTGTAGCTGTGACAGGGCTACTATGCACACGGCTCTGGCTTCTTCCCTTCTGTCCTCAGGTCTGTGGCAGGAAACCCCCAGGTTGAAACTACCCAGGCTTTAGACAGCCATTGATTTTATCTTGACACCTATTAGAAGTGAGTCAAATCTCTTTTTTATTACCTGTTCCTGGAGCCGGGAGAAGTGACAGCTTTGATAAAGCTCGGTGCGGCAGGCCGCAGGTCCACCTCTCGGACCTGTCATCTCGAGCTGCTGTAACTGGGCTGCCGTCCCTGATGGGGAGGAGCACGGGCCGTTGGCAGGTAAACTGCAGGCCGCCATTGTGGCCATGTCACAGTGGCTATTAACGTCTCCTGGCAGCTTGTCAGGCAGAGCCCAAGACCATGGCCGTCACGGCCCACCTGGGTGTGAGGGGTCCCTGCCAAGAAGAGTCACCCCATTTTCTAGGCATCAAGCCCAGTGTGCCCTGGCTGTGTCTGGTGTGATTTCCAGAAGCAGATGTAACAAGCAGTGAGGACTGAACACTGTGCCTTCAGGCCACACGTGGCCCATGTCACCCCCACTAACTCCTGTCATTCTGAGGGGGAGCGTTCTCTGGATGTCTCTCGTTGGAGCTGGGGCGGGCTCAGGGCTGGGGTGCCTCTGCACCTGGGTGCGTGGCCATGAGGATGGGTTGGACGATGCTAACCGTTGCCCCCAGTGTGTCCTCTCCACGGAGCTCTGCTGCCCTGGCACCTGGGGTGGGGGCCTCTCCCTGTGCAGCGTGCGTCTGGGTGCTCGGCTGGGGGGCTGGGTGCTGGCCGACCGGGCAGGCAGGTCACAGCGTCAGCATGGGGTCGCAGGCCAAGTCCCCGCCCAGTCCCGCACCAAGGCCAAGTCCTGCAGACAGAGGCAGGGGTCTATCAACGAGTGAGGGAGATGGTATCATCTGATGTGGGGGTGAGGGTGGTGCAGTGTGGACATGAGGTGGGGCCGGGGAGGGAGCTGCCGGCCAGGGCTCCTTGGACCACCATGCCAGTGTCTGTGTCTACCACAGCCAGGCCTGAGCGCCCCCAGCCCCTGGCCCCTGGCCCTGGCTCATCCTGGGTGGTCCTGGCGGCTGGTGTTTGTGGCTGAGCCCAGCACCTTCCTTGCAGTCAGGGTGACCTCGCCACGGGGCAGGTGTCAGGCCGAGTAGCAAGGCTATTGCCCCACAGTGGACACTCAGAGATGCTGAAGACGTGAGGGGTGCTGGCCCCGTGTGCCCACCCCTGCTCCCCAGGAGCCTGCTCCTGTGTGGACGCCTCAGGTCCCCAGCCCCAGACAGGACAGGTAGAGGCGGCTGCTCGGGGCAGAGCTGTGTGCTGGCGGCAGGGCTGGCGGCAGGGCCCCTCCTACTGCCCCTCCTGCTTCCACTCGCCTCGATTCCCCTGGTGAGGGAGGAGAGTTTTCCAGTCGGGCCGCTTCAGGGAAGATTGATTAAAATCAGCTGCGGTCTGACTTAATTGGGGACATATGCCTGGAGAGGGAGTCGGACTGGAACTTGGTGTAATTAGCTCACAGCTGGGTGGCAGACGCACAGTCACGGCTCAATGCTGGGTGGGGCAGCTGGGCGCTGGTCTCAGGGCGGGCAAGGGCGAGGAGTGGAAATGTGCCCTGGGGCATTCTGGCGGGACGGCCTCTGGGCATCTCCCCGAGGACCTGCACACGCTCAAAAGTGAGTGACCTGAGTGCACAGTCCTTTCATTTTTTGCTGGTAAAATCCCTGTCACACACTCCTTGACATCTTAAAGACCCTCCTGGGTCCCTTGCTGTAGAATCAGTCATGTTCACCATGTTGGGTAGTCATCACCGCCGTCCGTTTCTATCCCCCCAAACAGAAGCCCATCCCCCAACAACTCTCTCCCTTCCCCCAGCCCCTGGTCACCACTGATCACCTTTGGTCTCTGCTAACCAGAAGGCTGGCGGTTCAAACCCACCAGCCACTCCTCGGAAGGAAGGTTGGGCAATCGACTTCCATAGTGATACCGCCTCAGAAACCCAAGGAGGGGTCGCTATGAGTCAAGTCCGACTCTACGGCAGTGGTTTTCGTGCAACTCTGGTGGCGTAGTGGATAAGGGATTTGGCTGCTAAAAGGTCAGTGGTTTAAACCCCCCAGCCACTTTGAGGAAGATGGGGCAATCGACTTCCATAGATGCCGACAGCCTCAGAAACCCAGTGAGGGTTGCCTTGGGTCAGAATTGAGTAGACGGCAGTGAGTTTGGTTTTGGTTTTTCTGGACACATTTCCTATAAGTGGGATCAGACAGTGTGTGTCCCATTGGCTCTGGCTTCTCCCACTCAGCCCCACGTCTTCAAGGTTCATCCCTGGGTCGGGTGGATCAAGACTTCATTTCTCTTTGTGGCTGAGTAAGATCTGTTGTGTGGATGGATCACATTGGTTTTAACCATTCACCTGCTGACGGACGCTTGGGTTGTTTACCCAAACCAAACCAAACCCAGTGCCACTGAGTCATTCTGACTCACAGTGACCCCATCAGTTTCTCAGGCAGTAAATCTTTGCAGAAGGAGATTGCCCCATTTTCCTTTCATGCAGTGGCTAATCGGTTTGGCTGGTGGGTTTGAACCGCCGACCTTCTGGTTAGCAGTCACGTGCCTTAGGCACTGCGCCACCACGGCTCCTTTGAGTTCTTTCCATCTGTTGGCTGTTTTGGAAACCACTGTGACTGTAAAGATGACAGCCTGGAGGACCCACCGGAGCCTGGCTCCACTCTCATGTACATGGGTCACCATGAGTTGGAATCAGCTTGACAGCAGTGGGTTTTGTTTTTGGGGGTTTTATCCCCCAAGCCCCAAATGCACCCCTCCCCACACCTACCTGCCTTTCCCCTGGTCCTGAGGCACCTTTTCCAGGAGGCTCTGGGCCATGACCTGGTGGGCCTGGAGCTTGCTGGGACCCCGCCCTGCCAACCCCTTCCCAGCCCATCTCCAAAGCACCGTGTCCCTGGCCCAGGGTCTGCAGTCTGTCTTTGCCTGACCCCTGTGACGACCTGCCTCCCGGCAGATGGCCACCTGTGTGCCTGGGCCTGCACTTCCTCCCCGTGATGGGGAGCTCACCATACTTGCCCTGGGGCTCCCTGAGAATGAGGGGACCCTGCAGCCAGGCCTGGTGTATTTCACTGAGTGCAACAGCTGCTATTCCTCATTGGCAATCTGAGGACTGTCCCCGCCACACTCGCGTGTAGGACGCTGTGTCTGAACAGCCAGATCATGGCTTATGCAGGACACCATGGCATGTGACTTTGAAGGTGTGTGATTTAGAGGGACAGACACCAGAGAGCCCGGGGTGGGGGGCTGGGCTGGGGCTCCAGAGAGGTGAGGCCAGAGTGTGGTGCCTGGCCGAGGCTCTACAGAGCACAGGGTGGGAGGCTGGGCAGGCAGGGGCTCCAGAGAGCCTGGACGGGGTGCCCAGTGGGGGCTCCAGAGAGCCTGGGGTGGGGTGCCCCGGAGGCTGGGGCTCCAGAGAGCCCGGGGCAGGTGCCAAGTGGGCTAGGGCGTAGGGCAGGGGTGGGGTGCCAGGTGGGCTGGGGCTCCAGAGAGGCTGGGGTGGGTGCCAGTGGGCTGGGGCTTGGGGCACGAGTGGGGTGCCAGGTGGGCTGGGGCGTGGGGCAGGGCTGGGGTGCCCGGCTGGGCGCAGGGCAGGGGTGGGGTGCCAGGCTGGGCGTGGGGCAGGGTTCTGTCCTGAGGTAGTTGCTGAGCAGCATGTCTCACAGCAGAGATGAGCACGTCCTCTGTTCTCTGGGCCTCACTGTGTCTGTACCGCTGTGGGTCACCCTGTGCCACCGCCCCCCCCCCCGGCGGTGATGGTGGAGCCAGAATCTAACGCTGCTCCCTGACACTTCAGTGTGGAGGTTTCTGGGCGCCCAGATGCCCCCTCCATGCTGCCCTGGGTGTGAACTGCAGCCGCTCTGTGACACGTCTGTCCGTCCGTCCATTTCTGGCACGTCTTTGACTGCGGACACCTGTCACGGCCCAGGTGCTCAGTGAGCCCACAGGAACTGGGTGCGTCTCGGGATCTGAGCCCGGCTCCCCCTCGACGTTGCCCTCCCCTTCTGCATTGGAGCAGTTCTCTGGAAGGTTCCGTTTCACCCTCCCCCACCAGAGCTGTCTGGGGGGCCCCCAGCTGGTGGAGGTGGGGCACCAGTGGGTGCTGCCTATGGTCCCCAAGGTGGGGCTCAGGAAGGAGACACAGACATGTAGCCTGCTGACATCTCAAATAAGTGTGTCTTTTTTGGAAATGGAGTGGGTAGGAAATTGCTGGGTTCCCTGGGAGCGGAAGGCACGTGGTGCCCATGGAGACCGTCCCTGCGCTGTCCCTGCGTCACCAGGCAGGCGGCCTGTCTCAACTTAGATGCTCGGGGGGGGTGGGGCGCCAGAGCCCCCCTGCCTGCCCTCCTCCCATTTCCCAAGTGCTCCCCACTCTCTTCAAGCACCCGGCCCTCTCCCATGATGA